CCTACGCCGCCCCCGCGCCCCCCCGCCGGCGGTCCCTTGGGGAATAGCGAGCAAAGGGGGCCTGGAGCGCCGGGGCCGGATCCCCAGAGACCCTCGTGGCCGGGGCCGGTCATTGCGTCCCGTGGGAGTGCCCGCCTCGGGGCCCTGCTGAGCTCCGTGTCCTGGGGTGAAGCTTCTGGAAGGAGCAGTGCGGAGCGCCGCACTTGTCCCCCCGGAGGAAGCTGGAGTGGGAGCCTTGCAAGGCGGTTCCAGCCGCCGGCGCCCTCCCGCCCTGACACAGTGCGGGGCTGGGGTGCGCTACCCTGGGGTCAGGTTATGCGGTAGGAAGAATTTCTACCCAAAAAGACTAGTCAGGTATTGGCACAGGCTGCCTAGGGAAGTGGTGGAGTCCCTGTTCCTGGCAGTGTTCCAGAAATGTGTAGACGAGGTGCTTCGGGACATGGTTTAGCAGGCAGAGTTTTGAGGGACTTGCAGTTGGACTTGGTAAATGTGAAGGTCTTTTCCACCCATAATGATTCCACTGCATAATGATGCACCTCGGCTGTGCTCTCCCCGCCGGGCAGGTGAAGCGCGTTGGGCTCTGCAGGTCAGTGGTGGCCTTTGGAGTCAGGGCACACCTGGGTGCAGGGGTGGGAATGGGCCACTGCCAGCTCCATGCCTGAGAAGGAGATACATTTATTAAGGAGTAAAGGAGGGCATTTTTCATAACTGCCCTCATGTGGGCAGCTCTGAGGGGTCAAGCCCTCGTGCTTCAAGCCATCATGACAGTCGTAGCAGTCAGTTTATTTAATGGCATTTTTTCCTCAGACGTTTCACCCTGACCAGGCCTTGCTGAGAAGTAAGGTACTAAACTTGTGCAGATGGTCCTGTTTGAGAGCTGAGCTGTGAGCTCCCATGCCTCCCAGCATCGTGTGCTGGACGAGCAGAGCCGCTCTCTGCCCCTTGCTTCCTTCATGCTCTGTGGCAGTGCAAGGTCCTTGTAAGAGAGCTTGGGCTGCAGGGCTGTGCACGGCGCTCTCGAGCCTGGCAGAGTTTCTGCTGGAGGAAGTAGTGAGTGGATAGATGAATCCTGTGTGGCTCCAGTAGGGAGAAGAGTGGGGAGGGACCATCAAAGGATTACAAGGGGCTGTTTTGTGGAAGGAGCAGGGCTCTCTCTGCCTGCACATCGGCTTGTAGCCTTGCAGGTGGATTCAGTTTCAGTCAGGAGGGTGGAAGGTGTCAGGAGGGGCACAGAGGGAGATACCCATGTGCATCGCTGGAGCAATGGGTCAGCTCCCTGTGCTGTTGGAGCCCAGCTGCTCGCCTGTGATGGGAGGGATGCATGCATTGCTGCAGGTGGGTAGGGGCAGCTGGTGCTGCTGTGGTCCGCACTGGCCAGCGAGGGAAGGCTGGGCATGGTGTGAGTGTGGTGAGCTGGCTCACACGGAGGACCATTTCCATGAGCCTCAGCCGGTTCATCTCTTGGACTGAATCGCTGTGGACCCAGGACACAGTTTTTTGCTTCCTGTGTCCAGAGGGACCTACATCTGGTTAGGACTTTATGTTACTCCTGGAAGTGCAGAAGCTCAGCGTGGAGATTGTCCCATATCACTCAGGTGCTCGCTTGTTCAAGAGCCCCCTGAGCTCTCCTCTAGACCTTCTCTGTCAGATCCCCCTGTCGATGGAACTTGCTCTGACCCCACGTTGAACGTGCTTAGGGTGGGATACCAGATGCAGTTACTTGGTTTAGGGTGGGATTTTTTTGTATTACTGACATAGAAAGATCGTTGTGTTGCTGATGCTTGCACAAACATTAATTCTGTAATGCTGTCTGTTGTGGGTGGCTTAGTGCTGCTATGGTGATGTGTTTTCTTAAACCATGACTCTTCAACACTCTGAGCGGTGTGCATCCAGCTCCTGCTCATGTCCCCTTAGGCAAACCATGGGGGTGGCAGGAAGGGACTACTGTGCATCTGTGTGTTAGTCTGTGCTTTTTGACTTTTCGCCTTGACCCTTTTCTCCCTTTTACAGAGGAAGGTAATGCCACCGAGCCATGCCACTACCTTGTCCCTTTGGTTGGCTTTTCACTAGCATTGGTTGAGAGCGACAGCGGTGGCTTCAATCCTTTTGTCTTTTAATGGAGCTATTTTTTATAAAGCATGAAGGAAGGATTGGGTTCTGTTATTGGTTCTACCACAGACTTTGGTGGTGATCTGTTTTTGTGAATGCTTCTGTTTTAACCCTCCCAAAAACCAGACTGCAGAAGTGGTGGGAAGCTGAATTCTTTTTAACCATGCAAAGTCATGAGGAGGGTCCAGGTCAGGGCGCACTGTTGTTGTCATTGTCTATTTCCCCCCACTGTGCTTTTTTTTTTTTTTTTTTTTTTTTTTATTATTACAGGGAATGGCAACAATTGCACAGAGTTTTCGCTTGTTTAATTTTCTCCTTCCTCCCCGGACGGAAACTATAACTCTTCCCATAGATTCCCTCCAAATGCTCTCGCTTCGTTTCGCTTTCTCCTGCTATTTGCTCCCTGCTGCTTCCCAAGCCCCTTGATGCTCCTGTCTCCCTGGCCATGATGGGTGGAGTTTGAGCTCTACGAGTGATGCTGACAGGAGCAAATGTGACCGAATACACCCCAGAACCCTGGCCCAACCACTCTGCACGTGGTTTCAGCAGCAGGACAGTGTGGGGATGTTAGCAGGACAGTATGGGGACAATAGCTGGGGCACCAGCTGCCTGTCCGCCTGCGTTCACTTGCTCCTCCTGGCAGTCAGGGTTGCCTCAAATTCTCCCTGTGAATTGCCTCGTGGGCTCGTACCACCGTGGGGCTGCCCACAGGCAGTACAGTGCTGGGTTAGCAAAGCTGGGGGAGAAAGAAGGCCAGTACTTGCGAAAGAGACTGTTGGCTGGAAGGGTTTCCTTACCTGTCCCCGCTATGTGATGCATTGTGCAGTTATATAGTTATTCTTGCACAGTCATGTACTTTGTCTGCATTTATTTTACTATGGCCTACAATAGGCATAGAAAGCTGTGTGAGAAAACAATTTGGAGCAGCAGCCTGGGGACCCTTCTGCTTCCACATTTTCTGGAGATGGTGGTGGTGGGGACCGAGAGGGAGGTTCTGTGCTATGTGCCCACTCTACAACTTTGTTTGCCCCCCTCCAGATTAGCAAGACACCTACAGAAAGAGGCCCAGGCTCAACACAACAACTCGGAGTTCACGGAAGATCAGAAGGTGGGTGCACATCGCCCTTCGCTCTGGCCGAGGGCTCGGCCCCAGACGTGCCCGTGTGCGTTATGGTTCTTTGTATCCTGCAGACCTGAGTGTTAGACCCGTCCTTCCTCCCTCAAAAATAAACAGCCTCTGAGCCCAGCGTGGCTGAAATGGTTGCTATCATGAGATGTGACAGATGCTCGGCTGTGTAACACTGAATGTCTTGCGTGCTGGCTGGAGTCCTTCATACCCTGAGTTTTTCTTTTTTTGAGTGATCTCTCGATAACTTGCTTATACAATGTTAGCACAGTTTATGGTGTGAACTCTAAATACAAAATGTCTTGAACTGCAGACACCCATGGTGTGTGTGGAGGATTTTAGCTTAACACGTAACACCTGACTGGGAAGGGTCCTGGCAGAAGCCTCCCTGTTAGTCTCTTAGAATGTTACTTGTTTATAATCTTCAAAAATTTTTAAATGACTTTAGACCGTCCTCTCTCCCTCCACTGAAAAGGCTGTTTCTTGTCTCAGCATCGTGTTGATACAGTTTTGTGACAGGATTTAAGAGAAAAATGATGATG